AAAGAAAAGGGGGGGGGGGGCAAATACACAATTTGCAAGCATAGATAAAATAAACAGTAGTATTCAGGTGCAGAAATTTAATAATTAAGTGTAAAATAACACTGCATTGTGTTCACTGTATGAATTAAATTTAGATTCATCTTTGTTATAGCTGTTTTGTTGTTTGGTTAACATTAGTGACATTCAGCAGCACGTATTTATAGGCTGCTGTCCCTTTAAATCTGACTGCACGGATCCAGTATAATGATACACATCCGATTTCTTTCTCAGCTGTTTACATTCATTTAAACATAACTGACTGTGTTTACGAGAATGATCGTCGAGATGAGTACTATTGACATAATTCTGTGTTTATGTGTCTGTTCAAACATAAGGAGGAGGAGATGCGAAAGACGAATCAACTCGGTGTTCGTGCACCATCTCTGTGTGTGTGTGTGTGTGTGCGCGCGCTTTGCACGTGTGCGGCAGAACTGAAGAGATGCTGTGCTTTAGGTGTGAGTCAGACAGCAAGACGAGACGGCAAAGAGTTGTTTTCTGCAACTTATTGCACTTAATAACTCTTTTTAATGTTAAGCAATTCTCTGCTATATGCGTCGAACTAAAACGTTGACCTTTTGCAACGTTTTGATTTAAGTAGCCTATTATTAAAATGATTCAGATATCGCAGGCCGTTGGGCATATCTATGCATGTATGCATATCGCGATATTTACATTTGCGATATTTCGATAATTTCGATATATCGTGCAGCCCTAGTAGACAGTAGAGCTGATTTTTGCATTATTCTCTTGCAGTGGTTCAGTCCAGACCCAGATCCAGCAGTTTTCCATCTACAGTAACTCGAGTGGTGTCAGGCCCTGCTCCTAAACAGCAGCACACCCCACAACCAACTCCACGCAGCAGAACCAGCACCCTGCCCAAGACCTCCACACCGCTACAGCATCACAGGTACAGAAACATTTACTCTGGTCTTCATGAAAGTAGGAGTTTTTTTTTTATTTAAACATTTTAAAACAATTACAATAAAAATAAATAAAATTAAACCGACTCTATTTATATTTGTATATTCGTGATAATGCACAATATATATATTTTTAATTGTATTTATTATCTTTTAATTGTTTTCTGCTGACATATCCAAGCTTGGTAGGGCATAATGTTTTTTTTATTCAAGCATGTCCAATCAACAGTGTTACTTTAGTATTATTAATGCACAATTATAGTATTTGTAATATTTGATATTTTTTTATACATTTTTATATTATTGTTCGTTTTTTTTTACATTTTTAATTCAGAAGAAGTTTTCCTTCATGTTTAATTCATCTGTTTTTGTTCTTTAAATGTGCCTAGTTAGTTTTTATTCATTTATATTTATATTTCTGTTTTAGTTTTTATTTTAATTATTTTAATCATTTTAGTACTTCAACTTAAACTAAATAAAAATGGTGCCTAATGTTAGAAACTAAACGAAATAAAGTTTTTTATTATTTTATTAATTAACAAATGTTAATTATTGTTAGTTATAAAATTTGGCAACACTTTATTTTAAGGTGTCCTTGTTACACGTTACATGTACTTACTACTATAATAACAATTAATTATGCATAATTACATGCAAGTAACCCTAATCCTAATCCTAACCGTATAGTAAGTACATGTAGTTAAATAATATTACTCAGTATTTAAATGTATAATTACACAGTAGCAAGGACACCTTAAAATAAAGTGTAACCTAAAATTTTAATTTTAGTTAATGATTACAACACTGACAATCAAGTTTCAATCAGACGTGTCACATTACAGAAGCGAACTGTGCTGCGCAAATGCCGTTTCCTGTTAAAGGAGACATATTATGCCCCTTTTTACAATATGTAATATAAGTCTCTGGTGTCCCCAGAATGTGTCTGTGAAGTTTCAGCTCAAAATACTCCACAGATCATTTATTATGTCATTTTGAAAATGCATATTTTGAGTGGAAGCAGAAACGAGCTGTTTTTCTGGCCTGTGTCTTTAAATGCAAATTTGCTGCTGCTCCCCGCCACCTTTTCCAGAATAGAGCTGCTAAAAACATCTGTTTTGGTTCTGATTATCATGTTTATCGCGCTGAAATCATGCGTTTTAAACCATATGAGTTTAAACTTCAGATATACGGTTTTCATCCGACCGAAGCACACGGACAGAAAGCGGCTGTCATGTGAGTACTAAGTAACGTGACATGTGACCCATACTCGGAATTAGTGCTCTGCATTTAACCCATCCAAAGTGCACACACACAGCAGTGAACACACACACCGTGAACACACACCCGGAGCAGTGGGCAGCCATTTATGCTGCGGC